GTGGAGGGGGAGGAGGAAGAGGAGGAGGACTAGGGCATTCTCAGGATGCATCAACGGTGCTGCGATACACGCCGTGTCCCACGCCCCCTCCTCGCAGGTTTTTCTGAGCATTATTCTTCGCCACGGGAGGCGTTCCCTTGAAAGAAATGTGTTTCTAAGGCCTGTTATTTCAGCGAACGCTCCGTTGATGACAACTGTCCGCCGCCGACGCGTAGAAACACCAGAGCTGCACAACGGCAGGGCGACGCAAGTCAAGGGAGTGTCCAGCGGGAGCCGCGCGTCGAAATCAAGCCGCCTTTCTGCCATGCTGCGTCCTCGCAACCGTTGGGCTGCCGAAGCCGAGGGCGCAGCATCGCAGGCCTCGAAATTGACACCAACACCAATATCGGCGGCGTGCCTCCACCGAGGGATGAAGATTCCGGTCTCGGTGAGGTAATATTTTGGCTTCCAGGGCGGCCGAAGTATTACCACCAGCACCGAAATCTAGGATCATCTTCCCCCTGTGGAGGCAACCCCCTGTGTTGGTGTTTCCGGGACTTCGCCCCCGGTTCCTGTCCAAGGCGTACCTTTTCCTGTGCAAGCTCTTCGGCACCGCCTGCACCCCGCGCCCTCCGGCCGCCCGAGGCCCCGCCCGCCCGCGCCCTGTCTCCCCAGTTCGTGCTTTGCGCGGCCCGCCCAGCTCTTCATCGGAAGTGGCCCGCTCTCGACCCGCAGACCAAAAAAAAATGTGTTCACCAGTGCGCGCGATGCCGCGCGTGCGAGAGATCCACCTTTGAAAGCGGTCCGTCGCCCAGGTGTGGCTGCTGGACAAACCGGAAGCCGCCGTCTGTTCGTTGCGTGCGCGGGGCCAGGACGATTTTTCGTAGTCTCGAGAGCGAGCTTCCCTCCATCCGTGCATCGGGTGTCTGCTGGAAATCGTGAGCCTCAGGATCATAGGCGGTGGGGAAGTCCGAATCGGAACGCCCAGACCGCCCTACACTGGCACGGCTGGAGGTGCGACGAGGATCGGCCATGGCTCTGGCCCTCCCCCCTCGTGCGGATGGATGCCTTCTGCCCCTGTCCCCCCCCGCGCGAGGGGTCCCCAGTTGTGGGCGCAACGTGGTAAAACGCACACCTGAGGTTTGGCCATCCGTCGACCCTGCCCTAAGTCGGACGTGTCCCTCTGCAGGAGGAATATCCAGAGATGGTCGAGAAACATTCAGGGGACGATTTTCTGACCATATCTGAGCATTCGTTGCGCATTGTTTGGCTCTGTTTTATTTTTCGTCCAAAATCTGCCGTCCAAGCACCGCCTATAGTATGCGGTGGTTGGGGGTGCCCGCGCCCCCTCGTCCCCTCTATGGGTTTGGGGTGGTGCTGCGGCGCCGTCGTCGTCGTCGTCGTCGTCGTCGGCGTCGTCGGCTGTCGTGGTGGTGGTGGTCGTCGTCGTCGTCGTCCTCGTCGTCGTCGATGTCGTCGTCGATGTCGTCGTCGTCGTCGTCGTCGCCGTCGTCGTCGTCGTCGTCGTCGTCGTCGTCGTCGTCCTCCATCCCATGCCATCTGGGAAGTGGGGTGGCCCGCGGGGCCCCGGTGCCCGTCCCATCTCGGGGGAAGGGGGCGTAAACCATCGATGCTGTGTTTTGTGGACGTTTGAGCGGTGGAGGAAAGGGGGGAAGGGGGAGGCGGAGGAGGAGGAGAAGGAGGACGGAAAAGGAACTTGGCCCGGCCTGATGAGCCGGGGGAAGTTGGATGAACCCTCCTTTTCCATTCTGTTTTGTTTGAACACAGCAATGAAGTTGGATAACCCCGGATCATCCGTTGTTCCTCAAAAGTGGGAAAGTTGGATGAACTTTCTGCTGATACGTTACCAGGGAAGCAGGAGGAGGAGGAGGAGGAGGAGGAAGTGCAGGAGGAGCAGGAAGAGAAGGAACATACAAATAGCATGGAGGAGGGGCAGGAGGAGGAGGAGGAGGGAGGAGGAGGAGAACGGGTCGGATAAACAGGATGAGGAGGAGGGCAAGGAAGATGAGGAGAAGGAGAAGGAGGAGGCGAAAAAAAAGAGGAGAACCCCTCCCCGGCGTCGCTGCCCCCCCCCGCCCTGCCACCTGCAGGCGAACGACCGCGTGGTGCACGCGCTGCAGAAGCAGAGAAGACCCTCCCGTCCCAAGTCCCATAAATGGTGAGGAAGTCTCAAGCGAAACGCCCGGCCCGCCCATCTAACATGCTCGGATGTGTGACGAGGAAAGGTTACCGCAAGAGGCATGGGTCGGGGCGAAGGGGGACGGGGAAGATCAGGAAGGAGGGGTGGGTGATGGAGAGAGGAGAAAGAGGAGGAGAGGGAGGATGAGGAGGAGGAGGAGGAGCAGGAGGAGGAGGAGGAGGGACGAAGAGCCGCGGGTCACAATTGGAGTGGTGTGTGTGTGGCGGGGATGCCCACGCTGACGCTCTCTGAGGACCCCTTTGAGGGCGGCAGCGTTGGGGCTCCCTCCATCTCTTGGCTCGTCGCTCCTCTTCCCTCCTCTTCACACATCCCCTCTCTCTCCCTCTCTTTTCTCTGTCTCTCTATATTTCTCCTCTTCCTCCTCCTTCACTCCTCCTCCTCCTCTTCCTCCTCGTCCTCGTCCTCTTCCTCCACCACCTCCTCCCCGTCCTCCTCTCCCTCGTTCTCCTCTCCCTCCTCCTCTTCGTCGTCGTCGTCGTCCTCCTCCTCCTCCTCCTCCTCCTCCTCGTCTCTCCTTCTCGCCTTCAGTTTTCCTCTGCCTTCTTCGTCTTCCTCATTTCTCGAGTGCCGTACGCCATTCCTCCGACCTCCAGAAGGAGTGAGTGTTTGAGCCGATCGTGGAAGTTAGATCTTGAATCAGGAGCCTCCTGGATGAATCCGAGGGCCTCTTGGGATGCCCCTCTGGAGCCTCTTGGAGAACTCTTGGGGGCATGTGGGAGGCTTCTGGTGGCCTCATAAGGGGGCCTCTGGGGGGCTTCTTGGGGGCGTCTTGGGGGCGTCTTGGAGGCCTCTTTGGGCCTCGTGGGGGCCCTCGGTGGCCCCTGCGGGGCTCGAGGGGGCATCTCGGTGGGACAGGCTCGACATGGGAGTTCGTATTCCCCTTCTTGGGCTTTCTTGGAGCCCTCTTGGGGCTCTCCAGCGGCTGTCGTCTTGGGGGGCCCCAGTGGCTGTCTTTGGACCCTCTTAGGCAGGCTTGGGGCCTTTTTGGAGGCAACATGGGCCGTGTAAGGACGATCTTGGGGGCCGGTTGGGCCGTCGCGTTCCCCAACGTAACATGCGAGCGTGCTGAACATGTATTGTTTCCAGGGAATGGGATGTTTTTGCCCTCTGGTGCCCTCTCGGCGATCCTCTGAAGGCGCTTTTGGCTTGTCCTGGGGGCCTCGAGCGCTATCTTGAGGCCATCTTGGATCGTCGTGCAGCTACCCTGGGCCGTCATGAGGCTCTCTTCGACTATCTTGGCGCTCTGTCTGGGCGCTGTTGGGCTGTCTTGGGGCTTTTTGGGAGCTCCAGAGGCCCCAGGAGGTGCGTTGACGAGCTCGTCCCCGCTTTACCCCTCCGCTCCCCCGCCCTCCCCCCCCTACTGGCATTTTTGGACCCCTGTGAAGGGGTGAAGGGGAAGGGGGACAGCCAAATGCCTCACACGCCTTTTCATCCCTGGCACGCGGGGGTTGGCGGATCATCTCCCGTCGCCCCACATCCCCCTTTGCCTCTGTCCCCGCCTCAGCGCCCTCTCCCTCTCCCCCCGCCCCCCCGTTCGCCCCCCCCTCCCCCGTTCGCCTCCCCGTTCCCCCCCTCTCCCCCCCCCTCTCCCTCCCCCTCCCTCTCCCCGCTCCCTCTCGCTCTCCCTCCTCCCCCGACTCTGTGCGGGAGCTGCCCCGCCCTCTCCGCGCACAGGCTCACACAGGACTCCACGACTCCCCTGAGCCCTGGCATCGCTCGGACGTGTGCATTTTTTTCTCGGCGAGGACCCTGGAGGAGCATCCTGGACCATCGAGCAAAAAACACACGAGCGAAACCGACAAATGCACGGGAAATGGACGTCCGAGCGACGGCAAGAAGCAGTGCTTGCTCTCAGCGTGCCTCGCGTGCCTTCGGGGGCAGTTGTGCTCCCCGGTGCCACCCTGGCCGGCTCGCCGCCGCCCGCCGCCGAGCCCGTCGTTGAGGCCGTCGCCGCTGGTAACTGGGCCCCGGTGCCAGCATGGCGGGCCCGTCGCCGCCCGTCGCCGCCGTCCTGCTCCTCCTCCTCCTCGTGCTCCTCCTCCTCCTCCTCCTCCTCCTCGTGCTTCTCCTCCTCCTCCTCCTCCGCCTCCTCCTCCTCCTCCTGCCCCTCCTCCCCCTCCTCCTCCTCCTCCTCCTCGTCCGCTCGTCGCCGCCGTCGCCGCTGGATGGCGTTGCGCTGCAGTCGCTTCGCAATCGCACTGTGCTGCTCTGCATTCCCTGGCAGTCCTTGGCGGTGTTTCGCATTGCTCTGCATTGCATCGCTTCGCATTGCTGTGTTTTGCACAGCTCTGAATCGCAATGCATTCCATCGCATTGCCTGTCTTTGCTTTGCATTGCGTTGTGTTGTTTTGCAGTGCCTTGCACATCATTATATCGTTTTGCATGGCTTTGCATGGCTCTGCATGGCTTTTCAGTGGGTTGCATTACATCGTTTTGCATGGCTTTGCAGTGCGTTGCATTGCACTGCATGGTCTTGCATTGCTTGTTTTGCATTGCTTTGCATTTCTTTGCATTGATTGTGAAGGCCTTACGGCCAGTGCTGCCGACCCTGAAGACGAGGACGACGACGACGACGACGACGGCGACGCTCTGGCGCTTATCCTCCCTCCGCTGCTCCTTCCTTCCCCGCCTCTGCCTATTCCTCCCTCCACCCTCCTCCCGTCCGCCTCCCTCCCTCCCTCCCTCCCTCACTCCCCCCCGCCCCCCCTCCGAGTCTCTCTCCCCCCTCCTTCCCTCCCGTCCCGTTCTCCTCCATCCCTCCCTCCCTCGCTCCCTCTCTCCCTCCCTCCCTCCCCCCCCCCAGGAGGTCTGGGAGGCCCTGGTGCAGTGGAACGTCGTCCGCGTCCGGATGGCGGAGGGCCTCAGGCATGTGAACGTCGCCGACAGGCGGCGCCTCGAGGATCGCCGGGCCCCGCCCACTGCTCGCAGAGTGCCTACTGCTCACCACCCACCAAACCACCCCAACCCAACCCGAAGGCCTCAAGTTGACCTCCGTTTCCAGTGGGGGGGGGTCGGGGAAAATCGAGAAAAGACGTATGGAACCCGTACCCCCCCCCCAACCCGAAATTCGGGTCTTCGGGTTGGGTTGGGGTGGTCTGGTAGGTAGTCACCTACTCGCAAGACATCCGAAAAAGCACAGGCTTGCCTCGACGCAATGGGTCGCAGATCCCTCGCGGCAGATCCGGGCCATTTGTGAGTAGTTGCGCTGTGAGCAGTGGGGGCGCGCTTGTCCAGAGGAGTTCGAGAAGTCCCTTGACTAGCCCTAAAGCTGCCGCTCCTCCGGGGACCCCTCTCCTGCTGCTGCTGCTTTGGATCCCCGCCCGACATCCTAAACAGTTCTCCCGCTCCCTTCCTACCTCGAAGATAAAACTTCTGGAGTTCCGCCAGGATTTTTTCGGGCGTGAGGGGAGGTAAGTGTGTGTGTGGGGGGGGGAGAAACGTGCATCCTTCATGCTGGTTTTGGGTCCGAGGGGGCCCTGTAGGGCCCCTGTAGGGCACACAGGGCCATCTTTCCTCACCCCCCATTCCCCCCCTATGACTCGACGCCCGATTGGTTTCGGTTTGATTTCGTTTCGGAGCAAAGGCGGAACGAACACAGAACGATGAACAACGAAAACAACATGAAATAGAAGAGCAATGTTCAGCTCCAGCCCTGCCGAACCAATTCTTCTGCTCTTCCGTCTATCGAGGGCCCCCAAACGGGGTGGTGACCACACCGTGTGGTGAGCTGGTGGGGATTTAGAGGTCACCGCACGGTTTTGGGACTCTGGTCGTTCTCCGAGGACGTCTCGGGCGACTGGGGCCTCCGAGGTCCCAAAACCGTGCGTTCACGGACCGTGCGGTGAGCTCTTCGGGGATGTCGAGGACACCGCACGGTCTGTCACCGCGCCGTTTCGGGACTCCAAAGTCGACCTCGAAGACGAAACTTCCAGAGGTCCGCGAGGATTTCCGGGATCCGCGCTGGACCCCCCTAGCGGCGCCTCCCCCCCAGCGCGCTCCGCGCGCCTGGCGGGGAGGGCCTGGCGCCGATCCGCGGAGTGCGCGCGATCCTCCGAAGGGTCATGCTTCTGCAGATATGTTTCTTCTAGGGCCTTTCTATCCACATGCATACATATACGTATACATATACCTATGCTTATACATATTTCATATCCATCTACATGTACGTGTACATGTGCATGTGCATCTACATTTACATATACATATACATATACATATACAGATACAACTGCAAATACATATACGTATACTATACAAATACATGTACAGTTACAGTTACATGTACATGCACATGTACATGTACGTGTAAAGTTACATGTGCATAATCATACACACACGCATACACATATACATATACTATACATATGCATGTATGTATGACTACACATATGCATATACACAAACGTATACAGATGGCTATGCATACCCATATTCGTGTGTGTATATCTACATACACACCCACATATGCTCACACATACACATACAGATCCATCCATATCTGTGTACACACATATTTTTATATACATATATATATATGTATATAACGGGGCGATGACGGCCGTCACCTCGGGGGGCGGGGGACAGGGGCTGGTGACGTCGCGTTTCGCGCCAGCTGCGTCTGGGAATATCATAGGACTGAGCGAGGTCGGGTAGCAGCAGCATGGTAGGCGGGGATCTGCACCACAGCGCTTGTGTACACCACAGTGCTTGCGTGCACCACAACGCTTCTGTACACAACAACACCTGTGTACACCACAGCAGCCGCGTGCAACACAGTGCCAGTGTGCACCACAGTGCCTGCGTGCACCACAGCGCTTGTGTACACAACAAGGCCTGCGTACACCACAGCAGCCGTGTGCAACATAGCACCAGTGTACATCACAGCGCCTGCGTGCACCACAGCGTCTGTGTACACCACCGCACCTGTGTGCACCACAGCAACCGTGTGCAACATAATACCACTGTTGCATATCGAATGTTATAAGGAATCCTCACTAGAGAATGGAGCGCTGTATATTTGATTGATAGAACACTTGATTTCTTATAGGATTCGGAAGAAAACCCGTATGGAAAACGGAGCGCTTTTGGAGTCTACGAGTCCGCTGGACGCGCACAGAGACAGGGGCGGCGTCCCCCTGAAGGAGTTCGCTTAGGCGCGGGGCACTGTGGAGGCAATGGAGTGTGAGGCGCTGGTGCATGGGGGCGCTGTGGCATGGCACCGTTGCTTTTCGTCCACCTTTCCTGAGCGCGCAGGCGTTGTGATGTGCACCAGCGCTGTGTTGCACGCGGATGCCGTGGTGTACACAAGCGCTGGTGTGTGCACAGGCGCTGCGGTGTACGCAAGCGCATTGTGGTGTACACAGGCACTGTGTTGCAGACGGCTGCTGCGGTGTACACATTCGCTGTGGTGTTCGCAGGCGTTGCGGTACGCAAGCAGCGTGGTGTAAACAGGTGTTGCGTTGCACATTGTTGTTGCGGTGCACGCGGGCACCGCGGTGTACACAGGCGCTGTGGTGCAGATCGCCACCAACATGCTGCTCCTACTGGGCTTCTATTGTCCTTCCTAGTGGACTCAGCTGGCGCGGAACGTGACGTCAACTGGGGGAGGCGCTGAGCCGGCGACGGCTTCTATTGCGGAAGAGAAAGAAAACAGACTCCGACGGTCGGACCGAGGTATCAGGTCGATGCCGACTCGGGGACGGTACCCTGCTGTTTCTCGTTTCTGGTAGATGTGCTTGCGCATCCTTGGAAAGGGTAGCCTCGAATGTTTTCCGGATTGCTTGGCGGAGGTTCCATGTTGTTCATGGATGTTGTTCTGTCCTAGGGCCGACCGTATTCCCTCTTGCCCATGCCGTGTGTGGGGCCGCGGGGGGCACACCCATCGGAGGTCTCATGTTCTTCAAGGATGTTTTATTTGTCCTAGGTCCGACGGCATTCCCTCTCGCCCATGCCGTGTGGGGGGCCGGGGGGGGGCATCCTCACAGTTTCTCGAGCCTGCCTGTCTACCTGCCGACAGCTTCCGCTCGCTGGAAGGGTCCTTAACTGGGCGGCACAGCGATTCGCAGCCGCACCGCCACCTGCGCCACCAGCGGGGCCACCGACACCAGGCCGTTTCCCTTGTTCCTTCACCTGATGCGTTGTCCCTTCTGTTTGTCATGCGGAGGAGGAGGAGGACAAAATGAGGAGCATGCGGTAAAGAGAAGAAGAATGAAACGAATAATGGGGATCGGCAAGAGAAGAATGAACACGATGAGGACGATTGATGATGATGATGCTGATTGTGGCGGGGATGATGATGATGATGATGATGATGATGATGATGATGATGATGATGATTATGATGATGATGATGGTGATGGTGATGGTGATGGTGATGGTGATGGTGATGGTGATGGTGATGGTGAGGATGTGATGGTTACAGTGATGGTGGTGATGTTGATGATGTTGATGATGGTTGTGGTGTTGATGATGGTTGTACGGCTGATGAGGATGATAATGGTGATGATGATGATGATTAGGAGGGGGAGGACGAGGAGGAATATGATGACGCTGACGATGGTAATGGTGATGATGTTGGTGATGATACTGATGATGACGACGACGATGACGATGCTGATGTTGATGCTGTGGCTGATGACGATGATATGATGATGCGTATGATGAGGAGGAGGATGTTGGTGATGTCGATGAGACTGCTGATGATTAGGCTGTTGATAACATTCGCATGTGTCGGAAGGAAGGTTCGATTATGATGGATATGTTCGTTGGAAATGGAATGGCAACGAATTCGCCGCATATCCCATGGAAAGCATGTGGGGAAGTGAGGGGGCGGTGGTCATGAGCATGCTGTCCTCCTTCGTTCCTCCCTGCAGCGGGCTCGAGATCGCATGCTTACTTCCGAGCCGAAAATGGAAGCCCGAAACAAGTTCCGTGCCGAAGTTTCGTGGCTCTTTCGAAAGGGGCGCTTGCTGTCAGGCGAGGCCGCCCATTTTCGCAACATCTGCAGTTGGCTGGACACGTCCTTAGCAGGACGCCCCTGAGGCGGAGCGCTGTCTGCCTTGGATTACGAGCCATGCAAGAGTTGACAGGCAATTTTGCTAGTGCTCTCTAATGCCTGCTAGTTGTGGCAGATTTTGCGTTGCCTCCGATTTTGTCCTTTCGCTCCACGCAACCCAGGTGCCCGTGGTTGTGTACACGGATGTTTCGGCAGAGGGTGGTCGTATCCGTATCGAGGCGCTTGTCTTTGCGCTCTGGTGCCGGCCCTCTTGCTTGGCAGATGACGTCACAGAACGTGCGTTGCTACTTCTCGGCTCTGCCGGCGCGTCTGGCTCGATCAACCAAGCGGAGCTCCTGGCAGTTCCTGTTCTGGTGTGGTCCATGCCGGACGTCTTGAGAGGGGCCGACGTGCTGAGGTTCATCGACAACAAGGCTGCCGAGGAAACACTCGTGAAAACGGGATCGCCAATTGAGTCCATGTGCCGCCTGGCTTGCAGGCCACAGTGGTGTTTGTTGCTCTTGGGCCATGTCCATGGTTCGAGCGAGTACCGTCGGAGGACAACCCGGCCGATGTCTTGAGCCGCGCTGGATTTGAGGATCCCGTGGTAGGTGCTCACGCATCGTCTGGGCGTTGGATTGCAGTCCCGCCGCAAGAGCTGGATGCTGACGGACTTGAACTCCGGCGCCATTTTCTTACCCCTGCATGATGGTCTCCGGGGCTTCTACGGTGGCGGAAAAAAAGGTGTAGCTCGCTTCATATCGGCATTTGCCTTTCTGCATTTTCTCTATGTATGCACCTCCTGTCGGGCCATGCGTGCGTTCCACAAACGGTGTTTGCACAATTTTGCGATATGCCACGACATTACCTTTGATTTGGGGACGACATTGAGGTTTCCGCTCGATTCCTCCAGCGTTGGGAGTCAGGTCATCTCAGCCTGTTCGCCCCTGCGGGGGTTGCCGCCGTGGGACTCCCCACGCCCCTCTTCATGTCAAAGATTGCAGCTTGGGTATCGCCCATCTCCTGCACCCATCCCAGGTGACAGTAGCGCCAGCTAGGGGAAAGAAAAGTCGGTTACGTTCGGTATTTTCGTTGGAAATGGGATGGCAGCGAAGTCGGCGCACGCCTCAGACCCCAATGGAAAGGATGCAACCGTGGGCGAGCGCTGGGCGCATCCCACCCGCGCCGAAAGGCTTCATGATTACGTGGGAAATGACAAGTGGTAAGGTCAAGTATCGAAGCGCGGGCCGCCCGAGAAGGTTGGCTGGGCATCCATGCGCCGCTGCGCGAGCCAAGACATGTCACGCACGGTTCGGCCAGCGGGCCAGGGGGTGGGGTGCGCAGGCAAAAGTGCGGGCGGAGTTGTTGTTTCGGCCTTGAGGCCCGATTTGGCAAGCGACCGGAGCAAACAAACTTCCTTTCCGTTTTGCCCGCGCGCGCGTTCCCGTGGGGGAAGGGGAGGATGGGAAAGAAGGGTGCGGGGAAGGCAGGATGGGGAGGGGGAGGGGGAGGACGAAGGATGGGGGGTTCAGGATCGAGCGGAGGAGGAAAGGAGAAAGGGACGGAGGCATTGGATTGCACCCGTCGAGAACGCAGACGCACACACACACACCACACGCGCACACACACAAACACACACACACGCACACACGCACACACAAACGCACACACAGACACACACAAAAACAGACAGACCGAGAAAGACAGAGAGACAGACAGACAGACAGAGACAGACAGAGAGAGACAGACAGACAGACAGACAGACAGACAGACAGACAGACAGACAGACAGACAGACAGACAGACAGACAGACAGACAGACAGACAGACAGACAGACAGACAGACGACAGACAGACAGACAGACAGACAGACAGACAGACAGACAGACAGACAGACAGACAGACAGACAGACAGACAGACAGACAGACAGACAGACAGACAGACAGACAGACAGACACACACACACACACACACACTTAATCGCAAGCGTCAGCGTGATGGCGCACACACACACACACACAACAGCATGAGGGGGTCCAACACGTTGGCGTGCATTTTTTCTCGAATGATGCCTCTGTTTTGCTATTCGTTACCAGCGGCATCTTGCCCCGGGTGATTCGATGGAAGATGGGGGTAAAGAGGTTTACCAGCCGCAGTACTACCAGCAATATGAGAATTGTCCCTGACAGCACCCCAGTCCTGGGGTTGTCGGGTATGCGGCGGGAGCCGGCCACGTTCCCGAAGAAGCTGCGCCCCGAGCTCGAGCGGCTGTTCTCGCTCAAGGAAGGCACTAAGGTCCCCCCACTGGGTTCCCTCCGTCAAGGCCGCTCAAGTAGGGTCGAAATAGTTGGGTCGTTGGATCTTGTCGCATCGCTGATGCATCGGCGATGCCGCTCGATGTGGAGCCCGCTTTTCTTCTCCACGCCAAAGTCGCCGATGCATCGGCGATCCCCCGATCCCCCGATCCCGTAGGATCTTCCGATCCGATTTCAACGCCGCGATCCTCCGATCCCATCGGCTTCGGCCCCATTTTGGGCGGCCTCCTCTCCCTCCTCTTCCCTCTCCTCCTCTTCCTCTTCCTTTTTCCTTCTGCTTGATCCACGGGCCCGCTGGAGGGGCCTTCGGCGCCCCGCGGGCCCCTCGGGCTGCCCGTGGGGCCCCTGGGGCCCCCGAGCCTCCCACGGGGCCCCTCCGCCCAGGCTCGGAGTTTTGGACGCCCGAAATGGGTACGGAAAAAGTGGGTACAGTGCCCAAACACAAATTTCGTCCCCAACCAACGGCGGCCGCTGTTGGGCAGGAAACCTTCCATCTCAAATGGAGACATGCCGCGGCGGCGCGGACAGCGAGTCCTGTTCAAGATGAACAGGAACTGCTGTTGGGCATTGTACCCATTGTTTCCGTACCCATTTCGGGCGTCCAGAGGGGGGCCTCGCCCCCCGCCAGGGGGGGGCGCCACGCGTCCTCGAAGGGGCCGGCTGAGCACGGTTCCTCCCTCGTACTTCCTCCCTCCTCCCTCGTACCTCCTCTTCCTCTTCTTCCTCCTCCTCCTCCTCCGTTTCCTCCTCCTTTTCCTCCTCCTCCTCCTCTTTTTTCTCCTCCTCCTCCTCCTCCTCCCATCCTCCTCCTCCTCCTCCTCCCTCCTCCTCCTCCTCCTCTCCCTCCTCCTCTCCTCCTACTCCTCCTCCCCCTCCCCCTCCTCCCCCTCCTCTCCTCCTCCTCCTCCTCCTCCTCTCCTCCCTCCTCCTCCTCCTCCTCCTCCTCCTCCGCCCCCTCCCCCTCCCCTCCCCCTCCTCCTCCCCCTCCTCCCGCCGTCCTCCCCCTGCTCCTCTTCTTCCCCGCCTCCTCCTCCTCCTCCTCCTCCTCCTCCTCTCCTCCTCCCCTCTTTCTGATCCTCTTCCTCCTCCTCCTCTCCTCCTACTCCTCCTCCTCCTCCTCCTGCCCCTCCTCCTCTTCTCCTCCTCCTCCTTCCCCTCCTCCTCCTCCTCCTCCTCCTCCTCTCCTCTCTCTCCTCCTCCTCCTCCTCCTCCTCCTCCTCCTCCCCCTCCTCCTCCTCCCCCTCCTCCCCCTCCTCCCCTCCTCCTCCTTCCTCCTCCTCCTCCTCCTCAATCCTCCCCTCCTCCTCCTTCTCTCCGCCTCCTCCTCCTCCTCACTCCCCCTCCTCCTCTCCCCTCCTCTCCCCCCCCCTCCCCTGCCCCCCCCTCCCCCTCTTCCCCCTCCTCCTCGATCCTCCTCCCCTCCTCCTCCTCCTCCTCCTTCTCTCTCCTCCTCCTCCTCCTCCCTCCTCCTCCTCCGCCTCCTCCTCCTCCTCCTCCTCCTCCTCCTCCTCCTCATCTTTTCTTTCCTCCCCCTCCTCCTCCTCCTCCTCCTCCCCTCCTCCTCCTCCTCCTCCCTCTCTCCTCTCCTCCTCCCCCTCCGCCTCCTCCCCCTCCTCCCCTCCTCCTCTCCTCCTCCTCCTCCTCCTCCTCCTCCGCTCCTCCTCCTCTCCCCTCCTCCTTCCCCGCCTCCTCCCCCCCTCCCCCTCCCCCTCTTCCTCCCTCCTCTGCCTCCTCCCCTCCTCCTCCTCCTCCTCCTCTCCCTCCTCCTCTCCTCCTCCTCCTCCTCCTCCTCCTCCTCCTCTTCCTCCTCCTCTTTCTTTTCCTCCTGCTCGTCCATCTCCTGGCTCTCCTCCTCGTCGGCCGAGTCTGGGCGAGAGCCACGCTGCGGCCCAAGGTCTTCGAGAGCCTGAAGGGCGTCTCCTCCTTCTCGGACTCGGAGTTCTTCTCCGAGGCCGTCTTCTGAAGTTGAAGAAGACACATCGGCGTAAACACAAACTTTTGGCGTTCCGCGCGGTTTTCTTGGATCTGCGCTGGGACCCCTTGGCGGCGCCTCTGGCGGCGTCCCTGGCGCGCTCTGCGCGCCAGGAAGGGGGGGTCCAGCTCAGATCCAAGAAATCCGCGCGGAGCGCCAACAGTTTATGGTCATGGCGTTGTGTCTTCTTCTCTTCTCTTCTCTTCTCGTCTTCTTCTTATTATTATTCTTCTTATCCATCTTCTTCTTCTTCTTCTGTGAAGGGATCGGAGGAAAACTGCCGAGGAGGTACGGAGGCTAGGGGCCAGGGATGGTGGTACTGAGGCGGATCAGAAACACGGACATCAGTATGAGTAGGTTGTTGTTGTTGGTGTTTATGGTGGCGGCGGTGATGGTGGCAGAGGCGACGGTGAGAGAACGTGTGAATCTGCTGAGGGTAAGGGTGGTTGTGCTAGATGAGGTGATGACGACCAGATGCCGATGACGAGGATGATTTGTGCGGTAGTCACGATGATGGTGGTGGCGTTAGTTTTGGATGCTGATATGTAGAATGAAGAGGATGATGAGGATTGTGATCGTGCATGTTAATGAGGAGACGCATGGGGGATGAGGAGGATGAGGAACACATGAAAGTTGGGAGTGCGAGGGATGATTACTTAATGGGGTGGGGGTTAGGGGGAGGGGAGACAATCATGATGAGGATGAAGAGTGATAAGGGTGAGGGTGGAGGAGGAGCAGGAGGACGACCACGAAGGAGACAATGGACAAGGCGAATGTGATGATGCTCTGCTGATGGTGATAATGAGGAGGATGACGATGATCATGGCGATGGTGATCGTGTTGTTGATGGTGATGGTGATGGTGATGGTGCTGATGATGCTGCTGGTGATGCCGACGATGATGATGACGATGATGCTGATATTGTTGATGATGCTGATGCTGATGATGATGATGATGATGCTGATGCTGATGCTGCTGAAGATGCTGATGTTGCTGCTGCTGCTGCTGATCATGATGATGCGGATGGCGATGACGATGAGTAGTAGGAGAAAGAGGGGGAGGAGGCTTTGCATTGCTTCCAAGTGCGTCGCAATGCTTTGCATTCTTTCGCATGGCGTTGCTTTGTTTCGCGTTGCTGTGTACTGCATTGCATTGCATCGCATTGCATTGCATTGATCTGTGGTGCATAGGTTTGCATTGCATTACATCGCTTTACATTCCTTTGCATCGCTTTGCACCCCAGTGCAGTGCTTTGCATTGCTTTACAATGCAAAGCATGACGTTGCATGTCTTTGCATGGCTGTTCGTTGCATTTCGTTACTTTGCACTGTCACTGCAATCGCATTGCATTGCAATCGCATTGCATTGCATGCACTTGTATTGCTTGCATCGCTTGTGTTGCATTGCTCTGCATTGCGTTGCGTTTCTTTGCATCGCTGTGCATTCCTTTGCAGTCCTTTGCAGTCCTTTGCATTCGTTTGCATTTCTTCCCATTGATTGTAAAGGCCTTACGGCCGGTGCCGCCGATCCTGAAGACGACGACGACGACGACGACGACGACGACGGCGGCGGCGGCGGTGGCGGCGAGGAGGAGGAGGAAGAGGGGAAGGAGGGGCAGGAGGATGAGGAGGATGAGTAGTAGGAGGAGGAGGAGGAGGAGGAGGAGGAGGAGGACGCGAAAGAGGAGGAGGAGGAGGAGGAGGAAGAGAAGGACCTGTGTAAACTCAATATGCATCAGCAATGCTGCACTCCGCCAACCCGTCCCAAGTCCCATCCTCGTAAGCCCCCACAGCTTCTTTTCACTGCTGGGTGTGCCTCCCTGAACCACGAGCGCCCCGTGGTCTTGCAATGCAGGCGAGAGCCCTGTTTTGTCAAGCAGTTGCCATCCGTGCTTCTAGTACCCTGCTAATTGTTCAAGAGATGATGATGGTTTTCTTACTGTAACTCGAGCTGCAGATAAGTTACAGAGCTGTTCGGCACAGCAATCGGAAATGAATCGTCAAAGCGATAGTTGCGAGTATCTAGATGTCTGAACTCGATCTGCTGCCAGATCTGGAACCGAACAACTATTCGGGCTCTGATATTTGTAAGAGATGACAATGGTTTTCTTAACTTACATCGACGAGGTGGGATCGCACAGCCCAGGGCAGGGTCCAGCTGGAGGCCCGCTTGGAGCAGGGGCCGCCCGCAGTCCGTCCGGTGTTCTTCGGGCGCAGACGTCCGATCAGACAGCCGAGGGATGCCTCGAGCGAGAGGCCAAAAACACACACACACAACACACACAGACTGTGTGTTTTGTGTGCTTTGTGTGTTTGTTGTGTTTTTTTGTGGTGTTTGTTGTGTGTGTGTGTGTGCTTTTTCCCCACAGTGTTTTTTTTTTCTCCCCCACAGTGTGTGTTTTTCCCAACAGTGTGTTTTTTCCCCACAGTGTGTGTGTGTGTGTGTGTTCCCCACAGTGTGTTTTTTTTCTTCCCACAGTGTGTTGTTTCCCCACAGATGCGAGGAGCTGCGCCTTCCATCCGTCCCTGCTCTCGCTGAAGTGGAGGTGGAAGAAGAGGAAACAGAGGAGGAGGAGGAGGAGGAGGAGGAGGAGGAGGAGGAGGAGGAGGAGGAGAATGAACAAAAAGAGGATGATGCTGATGATGGAGGATGATGATGAGGATGTTGAGGAGGAGGAGCAGCAGCAGCAGCAGCAGAAGGAGGAGGATGTGGAGATGGAGGAAATGGAAACAGAGGAGGAGGAGGAGAATGAGGAGGAGGAGGAGCAGGAGGAGGAGGAGGAGGTGGAGATGGAGGAGAAGGACACATAGGAAGAGGAGGAGAGGATGCGGAGAATGAGTAAGGAGAGGAGGATGATGAGGAGGAGGAGGAGGAGCAGGAGGAGGAGGGGCAGAAGGAGGAGGTGGAGATGAGGAGGAGGAGGAGGAGGAGGAGGAGAGGAGGAGAGGAGGAGGAGGAGGGGGAGATGGAGGGGAAGAGGGCGGACTCCCGCGCCTCCGGCAGGCGAACGACCGCGTGCAGCGCCTGCTGCAGAAGCAGAAGAAGCAGGGGCGGCGCAGGAAGGCCCACGGGGAGCTCTGACGGCGCGGCGGCCGCGGCGGCCGCCGCGCGGGGAGTCCGGGGCGGTGCGCAAGAGGGGGGGAGCTCCTCCTCCTCCTCCTCCTCCTCCTCCTGCTCATCCTGCTCCTCCTACTGCTCCTCCTGCTCCTCCTGCTCCTCCTGCTACTCCTCCTCCTGCTCCTCCTGCTCCTCATCCTGCTCCTCCTCTCCCCCGCTCCTCATCCTCCTCTTCCTCCATTCCGCTTGCTTGTAGATAACTCCTCCCTGTCGCACCCCGAAGCTGGTCGAAAGGGCGGGCCGGGCGTTTCGCCTGAGACTTCCTCACAACGTGTGATTTTGAAGCTTAAACTTTGAACAGTTTCACTCACGGATGGGGGGCGGCCCGCTTTCGAAATGCGGTTCTCGCATTCGCGCCGCTCACATTCGTTCTTAAAGCTTGCAACATATTCACGCATGGAGGGCGGTTCCGTTTCAGATTGTGCTTCTAGCCTTAGCGCCGCGGATGGTGGTCTTAAACGTTGCAAGAGCTCCACGGATGTAGGGCGGTTTGTTTTCAAATTGTGGTTCTCGCTTTCGCGCTGCACGCACTCGTTTCAAGTTTGCAAGAGCTTCACGGATGGAGTCAGTTTTTTTCAGAATGCGGTTCTCGCCATAGCGCCCCGCACATTCGTCTTAAGAGTCTGCAGCAGTTTCAAGAATTATCATGGCGATTGTCCCAAACATTGTTGTTTGGCACGATGTCGGAAAGTCACGGCGCAAAAGTCATGTTGATTCGCGGTGTTGAAGGCCCAGGAACGGCGTTTTGGTACGACCCAGGATCGCCAAGACGCAACAGTAAAAGTGATTCGCGGCGCTGGCGTCCCAGAAATAGCATTTTGGCACAATTCCGAATTGTCAAACGGTTGGTTTCCAACGGGGCGTTCCTCTGAGTGACAATGAATCCGTTGAGGAACTTATGAAGAGGGAGCATGTTTGGAGGGGTTTTTGTAATACCGTTGATGGTCCTTGGGTTTACATTGGTCCTCCTCCTCCTCATTCTCCCTCGCCCTCCTCCCCCTCCTCCCCCCTCGCTGTCCTCCTCTCTCCTCCTCCTCTTCCTCCTGCTCCTCTTCCCTCTTCTCCCTCCTCCCTCCTCCTCCTCCTCCTCCCCCTCCTCCTCCTCCTCCTCCTCCTCACTGGTCAGTACGCTTACGGCTGAGCTTTGTCAGGTCAAAAACCTCCTCTTCCTCCTCCTCCTCCTCCTCCTCCTCCTCCTCCTTCCTTCCTCCACATCATCCTTCACCCTCCCGCTCTTCCTCCTCATCCTCCTCCTCTTCCTCCTCCTCGTCCTCGTCCTCCTTTTCCTATTCCTCCTCCTCCTTTTCCTCCGCCTCCGCCTCCGCCTCTTCCTCCTCCTTCTCATCCTCCTCCTATGCTGGGAGGCAGCTGCCTCCACGCTGAAACGGGTAGCTCTAGTCCGAGCCATGCCCCGTGTGCTCTGCAGGACCTGATTCGCCTCAGGTCATTGCGTGCCTCCTGCTGCCCGCAGGTGAGCACTCTCGTCTCCTCTCGCGCAGCGGCATGGGACCGCGGCATGGGGTACGGCAGTGGAAAAGGCTACGGGTTTCATCGGCTGCAAGGCTTGCGGCTACAAATGGAACTGGACCAACAAGGCGGAGCGTTTCAAGTGCAAGGCCAAGCTCCTGCCGTCCATGGGAGCACCGCCGCCTTCGGCTGGAGCTTGGGCTGGGAATCGGCGGTATTCTACGGGATGGTCCAACTTCGGGCGCGGATGGGCGAAAAGGGCACCATGGCGGAAGGACGGCAGCTAGAAGTCTTGGAATTGGGAACGCAAGGGCGAGCATGACGAGGTGGCGCAGCAGGCTGACCCGCTCTCCACCACGTCCTTCATCGCGATCTTGGCGCCCCACCAGGGCGATGGCGACGAGACGGACCCCACTATCGCGGCCGCCATGGACGCGCTGCGGCGCAAGGCTCAAGCCGAACAGGCAGCCAAGACAGCATCAGCGCCACCCAAGCCACGCACGGGGGCACAGCTGCTCGGCGACGCCAACAGAGCGCCCAAGGATATCGACCACCGCATCGGCAAGCAAAGAAAGAAGCTCGTCGATGCACAACTCTACATCGACGGCCAAGAGGAGTACATGGCCAAGCTCGAGCAGCAGCGGGTCGAGACGCTACCGCAGCAGCGGGGGGCCTTGGCGCAGGCCAACGCGCAGTCGGGCATCGAGGTGGTCAAGCCCGAGGAGAAGGCCGGCAACGGCGCGCTCAAGGTCAAGTTTGAGTTCGACGCATCGCTCTTCGAGGGCATCGAGGAGTGCGAAGTCACACCCGAAGAGATGCAAAGTATTCTGCAGTGGAAGAAAGAGCTCGATCAGTTCCGACAGGAGCAGGTGAGCGCGCTGCAGGCAAAGTTCAAGTACATCGAGGACATTCAAGAGAAAGCTAAGTTGGCAATGGCGGCCCCGAAGGAAAAAAGCGACAGGTGCAAGGCGAAGTGGACACCGAGCCCAAGAGCGGGGTCGCAGAAGCTCCAACAGCATCACCAGAGGCGGCGGCGCCTGCAGCAACTGCCACTCCACGTACTAGCAGCAGCGCAGCACCAACGGGCAACCCGCTCAAACAGGACGAGGAGAAGCAGAATATCCGCGACGCCAGCGAGGCAGCCTTGGATCAATCCAGGGCTGACGCAGGAGGCAGTGACCTGGGAAGACTGCTGCAGTTGGCGCCGTGGCTGCAGCTCCTGGGCAGACTGTTTACCGCCGCCGAGTGCACCGAGATCGCCGCGAACACGGTGCCCGATGCTGAGCCGCTCACTATCTGGTTCGGAAACATCACGGAAAAATGCGGGCCGCATATTCAGAATTTTGGTGGGAGGACCCAGCCGCAAAGAGTACGACTGTTTGGATTTCGTCGGGGCGCGCAGAGGGCCGATCGACATCTTGAGTATCGAGAGTTTCCTGCAGAACCAGGGTTGGGAGGCTGCGGTCACCCCTGCGGCCGCGAGCGGCAAATCTCAGCGTGGGCCATCGGCAGGCGAAGTGATCGCAGCGCGGACACATCTCCGAGCTTCATCTCTTGAGCATCGGAAAGGCAAGGTTGACGAGCAGGGCGATGCGGCGTTTGTCGGCTTCCCCCCAATGGCGCCGCACGTCGACGCGGGCAATTTCATCCTCGCCGCGGCGCACCTTCAGCCGAAGTTGAAGTTCACTGGGAGGAATCGAAAGATTATGGCAGCCCTCGCGGCTTTCGCGGGGATGCAGAAGGATCCCTGGCTCGCACTTGCAGTTTGGAATTGTCTACCGACTGAGCTACTCGCGCCAGGCTGGATCGAGCAGATGCGGGGCGAGATTGCCGCGGGCCCCGAGGAGGTTACCTGCGACAAAGGGCAAGGGCCACTCTACGACTACGGAGTAGCCTCAGCTGGGTACAAGGGAGCGCTCACCATCACGAAGGCGTTGGCAGTACCATGGGCTACGCATTGTGGGTCGAAGATTCAGATGGCACGCGGAAGGCTGAGGTGGCGGCGCCGTGCCCTTGACCCCCCCCCCAGATCGTCACCTGCGACGCGAAGAGCCAAAAAGCAACGTGACCCTGAAAGCAAGAGAAGCAAGCAGAGGGGCAAGTACTTACGACGGGCGGCCTTGGAGCCAGATCTCAGAGACGGTTTCGCTTTACTTGGTCAAGATCCAGAGCCAGCGGCTCCGAACTGATCCCAGGCGAGCTGGGCGGTCTTTTCTACTTCGTCTCCTCCTGCGGCTTCGCCGCTCGCGATCACCGGCGACGCGTGTGAGTGCGCCAAATAGGGGCTGTCTAACATCGGATCCTGGCCTCGCGCCGCTCCGAACCGTCGCCGCGAACCCCGGCTGGGCCCGAGGTCCCGGGCCCCCCCCCGGCCAGGGGGCCCGACCGCCAAACAGCTCCGCTGCGCCACCAGACCACTGGCTGAAGCAGCGAGCCGCCCCGAGTCTCGGGGCCTCGGGCGCTTGCCCCAGCGAGGGCTCCTGGAGGCATCAAGTCCTTTTCCACGCCCTCTCACAAGCCTGCGGTGAACGATGGCGACCGCAGGCTTATCGGGAGCGACCTCAGATTGCGCAGCAGCTGGCAACTCCGCGCGGCAGATGGGTCACTACTCTGGAGTTCGCAGTGTTGGAACATTCGGAAGTACCATGGTATCAGCGAGACGGCTACCGTGGCAGTGCGCAAGCGTGCGGCATCAAATGGAGGAAGAGCACAGCAGCACCAGGACGGTCTCACCTTCGCAAGCCTGCGGCGGAATGGTGGGCGATTGCCCGCATGCGCGTGGTTGCGATCAACAGCCGGGCCAAACGTAAGAAAGACCCTGCACAGTTGGCAGAGAGAACGCAAGACTCTCAAACGCGAGTTCAGCCAGTTCATGGCGTCAGCAAGTATAAGAAGGTCGAGATCACCAACCGTTGGCAGCAGCGCGCGAACGACATTTTCAGCCCAGTCAAGCAGGAGCGTGACGACGTCATCGAGCGCACCGCTGAACTCGCAGGCGAGTCAGCGCGACGGGCACTGGCGGATGGGCGCAAGGGCTTTATTACCTGGGCGCAGGACATGTGGAAGAAGCCGCCGGGAGCATTACATCGCTGGACAAATGATGCCCCGCCTTCCCGCCTGGAGGACATGATATCGAGCGCGACAGTGGCGGACCCTGCACAGATTATGCAGCATAAGAGCGACGCACGGGCGACCAAGTGGGCAGCAACATCACAGAGGCAGGAAACATTCAAATCAGCATAACAGTCATATCGTCGAAGAGCTCGGCTTGAAGAATTCCCCTGGCTCGGTTTGCAGGACTTGAACGCGACCGCGAAGCGGCTGGGGGTTAAGAAGGCTTGCGGAGTCGACGGCGCAGGCCCCCTGGACATCGAGCGGCTCCCCGGCCAAGGCAAGCTCGAGTGCCTGCACATTATTCGCGAGTCGGAACTCAACCTTATGCGGCCCCCGCAGATCCTCGGCACTATCGGCGCTATCGCAGGCAAACCAGCAGGAGGTGACCGAGTACTGGGGTTATTACCTATGACAGTGCGAATCGGATCCCGCGCGCGCTCAGGTGCAGCGGAGGCATGGGCAGCAGTTAGAGGATCACTGGGACACAGCGCTCAGAGGGTCGTCGGCTTTGAGGGCGGCGCTTTAACGTGCGACCTTGGATGAGACGGGACAAGCCATGGGGGTCGCGCGCGCAGAACTCTTCGCCGACATGGAGCAGTTTTACGATTTTATTGATCTTGGTTGGTTGATAAATGCTGGCATTCGTTTGGGATTTTCACCGACTACTATGGCTTTGGAGGTGGAAGCTTTCTCGGGGCCGAGGCATTTCAAGCACGCCGATTGGATTGTCCCAGAGTCGGCCCGACCTGCTCCGTAGTAGCAGGACCGGCTCAAGCACCATACTTGCAAACGTTCATGTGTTCCCTCTCCTAGATGCAGCCCAAAAACGTGTTCAGACAGCCGGGCCATGGACATGCGTCGACGACGCAGTGGGCGGAGTTGAAGGCCCCGAAGAGGTAGTGGAACAACGGATAACGGAGCTCGCGGACGAGATTATCAAACAAGCAGCAAGCAGAAATTTCATGATTTCACTTGACAGTACTGATTGCTTCGAACCCTCAGCTAAGACGACGGTCTTGGAAACAGGTCAGCACAGCGAGGGCTCCCAGGCAATCGCCGCGCGGCCATGGTCGACCTGGGCACCGACGTCAGCGGCGCGGGCAAGCGTTCGCGGAAAAAGGGTTAGATCACGGCAAGGGAAAGCCAATCAGCGTGCAGGCAAGATCTTTCGGCTGCGAGGCTGCGACGTATGGCCACCAGGGTAGCGAAGATCGCGCAGGGCCTCTTCTCGACGGGCGCGGCACCTCAAGCTACGTTCGGGCGCGAGGTCTGGGGGATCGCGGATCGCACCCAGTCGGATATTGCACCTTCGACGGATGGCTATGCGATCGGCTGCGGGACCAGGCCCAAGGCGATGCTTATCTACGGGCATGGCAGTGTTATAGCATCTCAAAGACCCAGGCATTTCTCTACGACGGCAGCTGCTCAGACAATGGCTGCACCAATTGCTGCTGCACCCGGAACTTCACAAGCGAGTGCGACGAATCTGGACGCCGACGTACCGAACCCCCCAGCATGCTGGCACCAAGATGTGGCGCAAGGTTCATGGACCCGTCGCCGCTTTGCAGGTGATTTTTATCATAGCAGGGTGGAAGCCAGTTCAAGCAGCATTATGGAAGCGACCCACACCACAAGGGGACAAATAATGGCGCTTTACCGTTTATTGATGAACACTGCGGGTGCGATGTGGGCCCGGTCGAGTGCACTCGGCTCTTGGAAGACCTTGGGGCCAACTTGGGCGCGGCGAGGTGGAAGCAAGCGGCCACGCACCTACACGGTGAAGATTTGTGCAATGGAGGCGACATCTAGCATATCGGCAGAGAACAAAAGAGGCGCGCGGACAAGGCTGAATGGCACGATTTGGGCTCTCCACAACTTTGTCGTTACAGGTGGGCAATGGCCAAGAGTTAGGCAAATCCATGCTGGCTACGAATGCGATTCTGACACCTGCGGTCGGTGCAAACAGGAGCCAGATACCCTTGTCCACGTATCTACACATGCCCCTGCAACAAAGGGAGCGACGCATGCGAAAAGACAGATTTTCAAGTGACGAAAGCGGCAGCAGGGGTGGATGCCAAACCAGCGTTATGCTTGCGAGGCATTCCGCCGAGGGAGCTCACGCGCCCGATCGTCGCCGACATCGACAGGCAGGACTACGTCAGGTTTGGCTCCTTCGAGCAAGCGAGGCCCCTGGCAGGAAGCTATGCATTTTCGGAAACGGATCGGGAGGGGCTCGCGGATCAGATCCCAGGCGCAGAAGGGTCGGCACCGGGGTAGCTGCCATGAAGATGATCGATGAGGATTGGAACATGACAGCAGGCACGATGGCAGATCTACCTGGGCGGCGCCAGACGGTGCCTAGGGCAGAGCCCATTGCTTTCGCGATTGCAATCGAAGAGACGATCGGTGATATCGTCGATGTCACGGACCACTACCCTCTGCTCAACGCGTGGAACAAAGGCGAAGTCCGAGACCCAGGACGCGGTGGGAATGCTGATATATGGGCACGCATCATGCGAGCCATCATGGGGAACGAGCAACATCACTTCCGCCTTTTCGTCGCCCTGATTCAGGGCGACGAAGAGGCGGAAGTGGTCAACGCGGTCTTCGCGGTGGGCAACAGCTTCCCGGACGCGCTTGCGACGGTGGCAGCAGAGGCGCCCTGGGAGAGGGTATGTCAACCGTTGCCCCCCACGGACGAGCGGGGCGCGATCTGCGCCAAGACCGTCGACAACCAAGCCCACAATAAAGAGTGATAAAACAAAAGTCATGGCCGAGAAGTCACAGCGCGACATGGTCAAGCTAAAGAATAAGTTGCTTTGTACGGCGCGCAGACAATATGTGGCCGCGGACGCCCTGCAGGAGTTCGCGGACACGCAGTGCGAGACCACCTTTGTCACTGCCAATGAGACTGTCGATGCCGAGGGTGATCGCGCCGTGGGCAGTGGCAGGTTTCATCCGACACGCGCGGTCAGCGAATGGACGAAGTATGGCCTTTTGTTCCGTGCCAAATGCGCTGCGCACGGCTTTGCGATTGGCAAGGGTTTCAGAGAGGCGCGTGAGGAGGTCATCGCACAGAACGGCCAAGACGCGTTGAATCGCATTCGTGATGGAAGATATCCTGGCTACAGAGGCCCGCCGAAGGCCGCACTGGAAGCAGGGCGAGCCAGGCTTGGCAGGCAGATGCACGCCAGGGAACTTCTTACTTCGCATGTACCGCAACAACTTATTGGGCTACCACCACCGCCAATTGCTGAGCCACCTCCACCGCGCACATGACGTCGAGTTTCGAGAAGGCTTGCAGGGCATGAAGTCGCTCAGGCACGGGGTGGGTTTCATCGAGTGGAGCAAGCTGTGGAGGCAGTTCATGCTGCAGATGGAGTTGACACAGTGCCTGGCCTGGGCGCTGTGCAGACGCCGGTGACGGATTACGACGACCCTCAGGTGCAGCACGACTTTGAGGAAGTTTTCGGAGGAGGCGAGTCCAGAGTGCAGCGGGCTGGACAACCACAGTTACGCGCAGCAAATTCACCCTCGACTGCATTGGCACAGCCTACTGGAGAGTACATTGAACTGGAGTTATTTCACGACGACGAGGAACTTCTTGCTCCACAAGTACCGCAGCAACAGATTCGGCCACCACCGCCGCCATCTGCTGAGCCACCTCCTTCACGCACGCGAATTCGAGTTATGGGAGGGCCTGCAGGACATGGAGTCGCTCAAGCTAGGGGTGGAGCTTCTCGAGTGGAGCAAGTTGCGTCGCCAGTGCATCCTGCAGGTGCAGTTGAGGCAGTACGTGGCCTGGACCCAGAGCAGATGCAGATGATGGATTACGACGGCCCTGATGCGCAGCACGACCTTGAAGATTTTTTCGGAGAGGCCGAGTCCAGATTGCAGCAGACTGGACAACCACAAGTATCCGCAGCAAGTTCATCCTCACGGCTTTGGTTCAGCCCGCTGGAGAGTATATTGAATTGGAGTTATTTCACGACGATGAGGAGATGAACCCGTCGTCTGCCAGCGGCGAGATAGGGCCTCCGCCTTCTGAGTCCCTAGCCGCCGCTGCCGCTTGCCCGCCCGTCGTGAACCCCGGTGCGCCCCTGACCCTGGCACTTGGGAGTGGGCCCCCACCGTGCCCAAAGGGCCGACGAGCGGCAGTGGAACTGGATGGATGAAGTGATTCCACGGGCTCGCCGTGTCGTGCAGGGGCTCCTGTGCCTGCATGAGGTGGCGGGTCTAGTGGCGTGCCTAACCTAACCTTTTCCTTCTCCTCCTCGTCCTCCTCCTCGTCCCCCTCCTCCTTCTCCTGCTTGTCGTTCCTCCTCCTCCTCCTCCTTCTTCTCCTCCTCCTCCTCCTCCTCCTCCTCCTCCTCCTCCTCCTCCTCCTCCTCCTCCTCTTGCTCTTCCCCGTTCACCTCCTCTTCTCCACTTCCCGTTGTTCTACCTCCTCCTCCTCGTCCTCCCCCTCCTCTTTCCCCTCCTCCTCCTCCTCCTCCTCCTCCTCCTCCTCCTCCTCCTCCTCCTCGGACAGTGTCCGCAACCGAGTGTGGCAATGTACGCACCCCGACGCTGTGCAGGCTCGGACTGAGGCTCTCGGCGACGATCCAATGCCTTGACATGCTGATGCCTTCGAAAAATGATGATCGGACGCTGTTTGACGAGCTCAAGTGAGACCGCCCTGAAAGCAGATGGCCCCCTCCCAGCTCTGACCCCGACCCCCACTTGTTCGATTCCCAGGGCAACGAAATCCCTTGGGGCAGTGTTGATCTTGCTGGCGCCGATGTGTGCATCGATGGTTCGGCGATGCGTCACAGCATTCGTGGACTCCCGTGCCTCTTACACTTGGGTGTTTCTGGGAGAGGGCCCCAATGAGATTCTGGCCACTGTTTGTGGCACGGTGTTGGACGCTCTCCCCCAAACGTCTCAAGCGGGGGAACATTTCGGTATGGCCCTGGTCCCCATGTTTCAGAAGTTCGGAGGGGCCCGATATGGCGACAGTATGACGCTGATCAAGTTATGTCAAAGCCCCCACACCCAACAAGTCTCTCATAGACACCGCTATGCAGGACTGAGGCGTGGAGCGCTTCTCCATGAGTCCGCGGGCCACGACCCGCCCATCCTCCACACACCTGCTCACCGTGATATGGAGGTACTCGACTCGTTACCAGATGCGGAGCGTCGCATCGGTCTCGGAAATTGGCATGCCGACGTCCCGGCCAAGAGAGCTCTCCTCGACCACCCCCAACCTTCCCCCCTCGAAATTCAGGAGGTGGATGCGAAGTTGAAGCAGCTTAAGGTGTTGTCCCGAGTCCTTGGTAAAGTTTTGGCGGTTTTGCTTCATGAGCGTTATGGGAGGTGCGCTGGAGGAGGTCCCAGGGCCAAGTTTTTGTAGTCTGGCGGTTGGCACGCGTGGCAAGACCTTGGCGAAGGCCACGCCCGTTGCGTTCGTTTTGTGGCCATCTGGAGAGACCCCGCCACGCGCCCTACGGTAGGATGTAAAGGAATGACTAAGACGCTCCACCAGACCCTGGACTTATCCTTGGGACACACCATAGTTCAATGTAAAGTTTAGCAAAGACGACCAGGATAAAATCATGTTCCTTTGTGTTGTTTGTGGTGCCTACACCTCTAGTATTTGCTACCTGCTGGGTAGAGAATGTGTACAACAAAAATTGCCTGGGCCGACTACTACCCTTCGTAGGATATACCAGGGCTTGCATCGTCACTACAGAGAGGAAAGATCCCGAGTCACCACCTCCAGCAGGCGAGGGGTAACGAATTTGTCATATGCCTCGACCCTCCCACCGCCAGATGAAGTGGGATCGTCCAGCAGTGCAGGAGGCCTGATACAGACCCCCCGCATGCAGGCTTTGCTTGACCGCGTCCAGGCACGTGAGAGGGCCCGTTTGGCTCTCAGCGCTGCCGACAGCAGCTAATCTCTATGTTTTGTTTCCTGCGGTTTTTTGCTCCGCCTGTCGGGGTGCATAGCTGGGTTTCATCACCAACAGTTGTGCACCTATGCAGCCGCAGGCCAAAGTTTTACCGTTATATCACGCTTCGGCCTCCTGAGGACTCCAGGAGAAAAAGAATCCTCCTCCTCCTCCTCCTCCTCCTCCGCGCGGCGGCCGCCGCGCGCGGGGGGTGCGCCCCCGGCCCGCGCGGCATGGGCGTGGTTCCGCCGGTGCGCTTTTCCAGGCACGCGCGGCGTTCGCCCGCACGCAGGGTCCCCTTGGGGTCGCCTGTGCATTGCCGCGGCGGGGAGCCAAAAGTCCGACCGAGGGAGGTATAAGATCGAGGTCGGCCCGGGGAGGGTACCCTCATGTTTTTCGAGTTTGTTGGTTGTTCTTGTGCATCCTGGGGAAGGGTGCCCTCGAATGTATCTGCTGTTGGCGGGGGATAGCGACGACGGCGACGGCGGCGGCAACGACGGCGACAGCGACGGCGACGGGGTGGGCGCTCGCCACGGGGGCTCCCTTGTGGTCGCCTGTAGCACTGCCGCGGCGGAGCCAAACAGAGGCCGGTAGTAGGGTCGGACCGAGGTTTAAGATCGAGGTCGGTTCGGGGAGTGTTCAGGAGGGGAACAAAAACACACAGACACAATTCATCGACGATTCGCCAGAAAATATGGGGAAATATGGGAAGTGGGGGGGAAGACGAAAACCCCCAAAATATAGGAAAATATGGGGAATCTTTCTATTTGTGTGTATTTATTTGTGTGTCCCAGGGCCCCTTCAAGGGTACCCTAATGTTCTTCGTGCTTGTCGAATGTTCTTTTTGTGCATCCTGGGGGAGGGTATCCTCGAATGTTTTTTTCGGTTTGGCCGGTGGAGGGTCTCGCGTTATTGGAGGGTGCTCTTCTGTCCTAGGTCCGGCCGTGGGGGTTGGTTGGTGGGTTTTGTGCGCGTGTGCACTTCATTCGTACTTGTGGCCGTTGTAGCTCTGCAGCGCTCACAACGCCTCAGGCTCACTGTCGAAGCACAGAAATGGTAGGTAGTCCCTGCCAGGCAGAGCACACAACGCAGAAGAGCCAGGTTGACAAGGCATCAGCAGCCAGTGGGGCCAAAAGTGACCATTGAGCACTTGGCGAGGAACACCGACGACGACGGCGGCGGCGGCGACGGCGTGGGCGCTCGCCAGGAGGGTCGGGAGTAGATGGGATCGGAGGATCGCACCGCATCGCCGATGTATTGGCGATGGGGCTCGATGTGGAGACCGATCTTCTCCACGGCCACGGCGCCGATGCATCGCCGACTTCGACGAAGCACCAGCGGTGCACCAGCGGTGCATCGGCGGTGCATCGGTGATGCGGCGCGATCCTCCGACCCCATGTGCTCGGAGCCCATGTGTCAGGAGGGAAAACACACGCAGACGCAAATCATCGGCGATTCCCCGGAAGATATGGAACATAGGGGAAGTGGAGTGGAAGACGAGAATCCCCAAAACATGAAGAAATGCCAGGGATCTTGGGAATTGTGTCTAACCGCAGGAGGTCTTTGGTTTTGACCCCCCCTCTTTCATTCGGCGGTGATAGGACTGGTCCTAAAAACCTCCTCCTCCTCCTCCTCATCCTCCTCCCGAGGCATAAGCAGTAGTAGTCGTCGCAGTCGCAGTCGCAATCGTGGTCGTAGCTGTTGTCGTCGTTGCGCGGCGGGTGCCGCGGAAAAAATGATTAGTTACCCCCATACTGCCTACTGGTGGGGTCCCAGTTCTTCAATATGGCCGCCGAACAGGTAAATAGTTACTCCCTCATTGGTGGGATATATGACCCCCTGGGGTTATTCCCCACATGCTTGGTGGGGTTCTGGTTTTCTTCCCTCCCGCGTCCCACCCGCGTCTACCTCACTCACCTCCCTCCCTCCTCTCTCCTCACCTCTTCTTCCTCTCACCTCACCCACGCGCAACACACGCACGGCGCGTGCATGAGACATGCGTCTACATACATTTGCACGAATGCACACACTCGCAGACACGCGCACACGCAAACACACTGCATACAGCGATAGTGCACGCCCGGCGTGTCCATTGCATCATACACCCAAGACGTATGAACCACATACTGGGTACCCATATGAGACACCAGACGCACGCAACACAAACACTGCACACGCATTGATACACACGCTCACAAAGCGTGGCAGGCGTGGCTCTTTCTCGACGCCATAAGGGGGTGCGCAGGGTGTGGTCCTTGAGCGCGGCGTCTATGCTGGCCATGGCGCAGGGCACGGCAGGGGCGGCGCTTTCTCGACACCAGAGGGGGTGTTCCAGGCGGTGCTCCTTGAGCGCGACGTCGATGCGGGCCATGGCGCAGGGCAAGGCAGGCGTGACACGTTCTCGACGCCGAAAAAGGGGGTGCGCAGGGGTTTGTCCCTGAGCGCGGCGTCTATGCGGGCCGTGGCGCAGGGCACGGCAGGAGTGGCACTTTCGCGACACCAGAGGGGGTGCGCAGGGGGTGCTTCCTGAGCGCGGCGTCTATGCGGGCTATGTCGCAGGGCACGGCAGGAGTGGCTCTTTCTCGACACCAGAGGGGGTGCGCAGGGGGTGGTCCCTGAGCGCGGCGTCTATGCTTGCCATGGGGCAGGGTAATTACGGCGGGCGTGGCACTTTTTCGACACCAGAGGGTGTGTGCAGGGGTGGTCCCTGAGCGCGGCGTCTATGCGGGCCATGGCGAATGGCACGGCAGGCGTGGCTCTCGACGCCAGGGGGGGCGCGCAGGGAGTGGTCCCTGACCGCGGCGTCTATGCGGGCCATGGCGCAGGGCAAGACAGGCGTGGCACTTCTGCGACACGGTTGGGAGCGTGCATGGGGTGGTCCTTGAGGGCGGCGTCTGTGCGGGCCATGGCGAATGGCACGGCAGGCGTGGCTCTTTCGCGACACCAGACGGGGTGCGCAGGGGGTGGTCTCTGAGCGCGGCGTCTACGCGGGCCATGGGGCAGGGCGCGCCAGGCATGGCATTTTCTCGACACCAGAGGGGGTGCGCAGGGGGTGGTCCCTGAGCGCGGCGTCTCTGCGGGCCATGGCGCAGGGCACGGCAGGCGTGGTTCTTTCTCGACGCCAGAGGGGTTGCGCAAGGGGTGGTTTCTGAGCGCGTCGTGTATGCGGGACATGGCGCAGTGCAGGGCAAGCGTGGCACTTTTTCGACACCAGAGGGGGCGCGCAAGGAATGGTCCCTGAGCGAGGCGTCTATGTGGGCCATGGCGCAGGGCACGGCAGGGGCGGCTCTTTCTCGACACCAGAGGGGGTGCGCAGGGGGTGTTCCAGGGGGTGCTCCTTGAGCGCGGCGTCGATGCGGGCCATGGCGCAGGGCACAGCGGGCATGGCACTTTCTCGGCGCCATAAAGGGGGTGCGCAGGGGGTGGTCCCTGAGCACGGCGTCTATGCGGGCCATGGCGCAAGGCATGGCGGGCGTGGCTCGTTCTCGACGCCAGAGGGGGTGCGCAGGGGGTGGTCCCTGAGCGCGGCGTCTATGCGGGCCATGGCGCAGGGCAAGGCAGGCGTGGCACATGTTCGACACCAGACGGAGTGCACAGGGGGTGGTCCCTGAGCGCGGCGCCTGTGCGGGCCATGGCGCAGGGCACGGCGGGCGTGGCACTTTCTCGACACCAGAGGGGGGGCCCTGGAAAGGAGCCCTCGGGGACATCCTCTCCTCTCGCTCCATGCGACGTGTTCGCCACTTTGCTCACCTCGCCTCGCCCCCGTTGCCACTTTGCTCACCTCGCATAGTTTCGCATGTTTCGTTTCAGCTATCACCACGCCAGACATATCATTCAAGGGCAGAAAAAACGCCCATACCCTGGTCTACGAGGCGCTGTGCTCTGAACCTCCTGTGGGCTGACAGGGGAAACCCTGCGTGATGTGCCGCGTCCTGGCGGCTCTAGGCTTTGGGGGTTCCCAGGAGGTTTACAGACCACGCACTTGTAATCCAGGGTAGGGTCGTTTTTTCATCCCTCAAATCATGAGTATGTGGGGCCCCTCGGTAGCGCAATTTGCTTGTGTGTCCCTGGGCCCCTCCAGCGTGGGAGGCTCCACAGCCGCGCCCTTGGCTCCTGCGAGAGGCTGCCCGCCGGCGGCACTGCACCCCGGCCGCCCGGCACCGCGCCTGCTGTCTGATTGGGGGCGTGCCGAAATAAAAGGGTCGGGGCGGAGAGGGGGCGCGCGGGTTGGTGGGTGGCGGGATCCAGAGGGAGCGCTGGCGGGTGGCGGGGATGCGGAGGGGGCGCGTGGGATGGGGGGGGTGCCGTGCCGAAATAAAAGGGTCGGGGCGGAGGGGGCGCGCTGGCTGGTGGGCGGGGGGATGTGGAGGGGGCGCGCGGGATGAGGGGGGGCGCTCGATAGTGTCACCGAGCGCGTTCCACTACACGCACAGTTCCTACTCGCAAGCGTCAGGAAAACACGCGTCTGCTCCGACGGAATTTGTCGCAGATCCCCCGCGTCGGCTCCAGGCCATTGGCGAGTAGAGCGACCTTGCAAGTCGTGGAGCGCGCCTGCCTGAATAGGGGCCGCCGAACGAGTAGATAGGCACCTCCTTCTTGGGGGGGTCTGAAGACCCCCTGGGGTTCTTTGCTCGTGTGTCCCTGGGCCCTTTCAGCGTGGGAGGCTCCACGGGCGCGCCCTTGGCCTAAGTCGGGCCTGACCCCCATACAGGGGGAATATCCAAAGATAGTAAAAACATAGTCTGGGGACCATGTTTTGGACCATTTTTCTTTTTAGCATGTTTGGTGCGTGCTTCGATATTTTTTTGTTTTTCGTCCAAACTCCCCCTGTAGGGGTCGGGGGGGGACAGACCTCCACCCTGACACGTCGATTAGTGAATCGTCCGTTTTCGGTTCTCGAGAGGGCGCCGTGGCCGTTATTCTCCAGGCTTGCGCCCGCCAGGTTTGGGCTTCAGGTCGTTTTCACTAAACCACGTTTTGCTAAAAGGGGGTCTGTCCATCCCCGATACAGGAGGAACATTCAAAAATGGTAAAAAAATAGTCTGAGGACGATTTGTAAGTATTGCTTGATCATTGTTAGGGTACTTCGGGGGTATTTGTTTGTTTCCGTCCGAGATCCCCCCGAAGGGGGACGTGCCCGACCTAACCCTTGGCTCCCGCGCAGGGCTGCCCGCCGGCGCTGCGCCCCCCGGCCGCTGCCGACTCGCCGCGCCCCCCTTCCCGCAGGACGAGGGCCTCTCCGCCGCGGCCTTCAGCAGCAGCATGGAGACCCCGCGGGCCCCCGGCATTAGCAGCGGAGGCTGGTCGGGGTCGGTTGGCG